TTTTTTAGATAATTGTTCGTTGATGTGGTCCCTTGACTGTAAATTCATTATTCTGCATATAAGCATAAAACAACTTCCATATTCGTCTGCTGTTTATTTGTTTTTAAACAACAGTAAACAACAGCAAACAACGGCTTAAATTATTTCGGAGCTCATGCCCTCCTATGAATCCGCTGTACCTTCATGACGTCTGTCTCCACGATGGCATTGATAAAGAGATTGTTCTCTTTGAGCTCTTCTGAGGTGACCGTCTCTGACACACCTGTGGACATCTCATAGTTGTCCAGCAAGCTGATGAAATCTGAATAAAAAGGCGTAACCTCATTAAACTGTTTAATCGCTGTTGTTCCAAATAAACATAAAAAAGAAAACCTTTATAGGCCTGACTCATACTCACATTCATAGGTCTTAATACTCTTCAGTTTGTCTTCATTGACATATGTGAAGAGTGGAGCTTTGGCCTGGTCTCTGGCAACGTTACTGCCCTGAGCCACATAACCCGCCTTCCCCTAAATATAAAAACACAAACATTCAGCAACATGTTAAAACTGAACAAACAAATATGAGGATTCATACATACTGTTGATGCACCTGGTTAATTGACATGTAAGCAGCTCATAAAAGCATCACCCAGTTTCAATGCTAAATACACTTAAGCAGCTGCTTGACGGCGCCAACTTCACTGAACATACACACACACACACACACATTAACCTATAACTGAAAACACACACAATGGACAAAAACAAACAAATGGCCGACTGTACCCTCATACACACAATAATAACATGGACTGAACCACCACTCCACACCATTAGCACTTTATATAACCACTGTAGAAATTAGCCACATATCTCACTGATCTAAACTGCACGACTGTAAATGCTGTATAGACAATCATTCTGTACAATACAATAATTATAGTTCTACAACTGTATATAACTTGTATAGTTAGCATTTCATATTTCTGTATAGTTTTCATATTTAAATCCTGTTCATAGCTTGTACACTCACTACAGCCTGTACATACTTATAGTTATAGCATATTCATAACATACCTTCATACCTTGTACATTGTAACATACCCATAATAGACACATATTTTTCACCCTCATTCCTATAATAGACCCATTTTTATACTCTTGCTAATATATATTTTGTAATATATCTATATTATTGCTAAAGCACTTTCTGGATGGATGCAAGCTGCATTCTGTTGCATTGTACTTGTGACATGTGCAATGACAATAAAGTTGAATTCTATTCTATTCTATTCTATTCTATTCTATTCTATTCAACCACTTGAAACACTGAAAGAAAAGAATTAAGATCAAATTTACCAGTGGGCTGTGAGGCAACAGTGCTAAACACCATGACTCATCCTTCATTTCTTGCTTTGGCTTTTTCTGGCACTAGCCAGCACATATGGGCCTAAAGTGAAGGCACAAACTAGAACAACATCTCCCCACATCTGGGACTGTGTGACGGGGAAAATGTGCAACAAATCAGAAATGAGCCGGGCTTAACTTTTAACAGCACTCAGTGTGATGGTGCACTCAAACCAACCATTGCAAAGTTAATCTTACTAGTTATCTCCAAAAGTTTATTTCTGTTCATGTGGACGTAGCGTTTTCAGTGGGAGAAAGTGCTGAGACTTGTCACTTGGATGAGTGATGAAACGTTTCTCCCACTGACAACCCTATGTCCACATGAACAGAAATAAGCTTTTGGAGATTTACTCACCTGGATGATCGAGCATGCATCAAGACGTCTTACTAGTTATTATGTTATGACTAAGTGTTATGTGTTGTGACTCCAGTAATCTGCACTGACAGCTAATTGATGGAATAGGAATCCTGTGTGGGCATGATGGTTTGACCGGACTTAACAATGACAGCATGTTCATCATTGTGTGAATTCTATGTGCTGGCTTTAGTGTTTTGTAACATAATTTCATTGGGGATTATTAAAGTATTCTGATTGTGATTCTAATTCTGATTTAGCTTTAAAATGTCTAAAATTAAATTAGCTTTGTCATAGAACTCCAAACATTTTGATTTATTTACTGCAAAAATTTTCAGTCTGTTTAGTTTCATTATAAAACAGACTAAAAAACAAAACTTTTTTGTCAAATAACATTCAGAAGTACTTGTCACTGAGTAACAACGCTCCCAGAACTTCACCACTGTAAATGTTTGATATACATTAAAACACCTACACTCCAGAACCCCATCAGGCTTCCAGTCCACACAAAGGTTTGCATTTATTGCATGCATCAGTGACTGCCTGCTTTGCATTGCAGAGAAGCTGCGATGCCCTTTTAGCACTGACCTGGAGGGAAATCCTGTAATCAGTCCCAGGTCTCAGGCGGTTTTTATCCAGGTGCCAGAGCTGGTTGAGTACCTTGGTGAGGTCCTGATCGGCCTTTTGACTGTCAAATAAAAATTAATAAATTTTAAAAAACACAGGCAGACAAACATGGTGAATTAAGAAGCAGGCCTAAAAACTGCAGTGTATGTGTGAATGGAAACATGGACGTGGAAAAGAAAGAGACGCAGAGGGTTGACGTGACAGAGAGGACACTAGGTACAGGTTGCGAGGTAGATGACCTGTTTTGCCGACCCCTTAAAGAAGAAGACAACGAAGAAGACAAAGAAAAGAAGAAGAAATAAATGACTAACCGGGGTGTAATGTTCACATGCTTTTGCTATTTCTTCTGTCCTCAAGTGGAGTTTTACAGACATTAAAATAACTTCTCTCAGCATATACTTGCTCCCACTATTCTGATTAAAAGAGAAGTGACTTCTCACACTGTCTATGCACTGAGAGGAACTGGAGTGAATGGGCAGTCTGTTTACTTTATTGTTTTTCATAGCTACCATGCAGTTTGGGATAGTCCTCCTTTTTGTTTCAAACTGCTGGTGATGAAATCTGCCGTGACAATCTTCTTTTCCCCACTCATGTGACTAATTCTTTCTGCGGAAAGCAGTTAACAGGAAGTTAACTGCTCTTCTTAGAATGAATTAGTAAGGTATACCAAACGAAACCGGCGTTTCCAAAACAAACAAACATTACTCCTGTGCCTCAGTCGAAAGCAGCTTGTACATCTGTTTCAGGATGTGTGTAGTTTGTTTGTTTTTTTTACATTCTCAGTTACTTAGGTTTAAAACATACGGCGCCTGTGATACAGTTAAGGACCTATTTATCTAAATCATAAAAACAGTTCCCCACATAGTAACAGCAGTGCTTAGCTGTGTAAATGGCTCACATATCTATACAGCCGTGCACAATGACTCTCCATTAAAACCCAGGTTGTCTGACACAGGTGATCTAAATAATGTTTTAATTAAGTGAAGACTCTTGGCTTCAATACAAGCAGCAGCTGAAGGCGTTGTGTTGTCTCCTATCACATGTTATGCTTCTTCTCCTTTGTTAGATAGCACAATGGCGCCAGATGAAAACTAAAAAGCCAGTGGGGAAAACTTCAGCTTCAGCTCTAAATAATGACCCCACCTCCGTCATTAAGTTACAGCTGCATGGATCAGTGAATGTGGGAGGGCTGTAATGTGAAACCTACAGATACCACTAAAACTATAACATCTCTGCTTTAGTTTTCTTTAGTTTTCTTCAATTACATCAATAGATGCTAATACAATTGCACTGAGGCAGACTAACAACCACACCCTATGTCTGACACGTTAAAAAACGTTGAGCGAGAAGCAGGTGACAGGATGGAGCACATACTGAGGCAGGTCCTCTGTGTTTAGCCTGAGTACAGGAGGGAGCGACTACAGTTTTATTACAGCAGAGGAGGCTCTCCATGAAGTTCTCCATGTTCTGTTTGTTCTGTTGTATAATTCAACCCACTAATCATTCCCAGACCCTGCTGCAGGCTCCTCTTACGCACATAACGTCCACACAACAGATGCACAGAGCGCAGTCTGCATTGAGGAACAGCTGTCAGGGAAACAAACCCGGACTTTATTGTGACAAAACTATCGAGGAGAACAATCAAAGGTGTGATGTTACACTGTAACTACATGTTTACATCAAACATGTCTTCGTTAGACGGAAACAAACGCGTTGAAAAGCGGCTGAAAACGACAACACGCAAATTTAAATTACTCTGAAAGTTGAGAAGACGCCTTAAAAACACAAGTCATCCTTCTGCGCGTGCGTTATTTTAATCCCAAACTCACCTTCTCGACATGATTTCGTTGAGAGGAAAAACTCACTGAGACTTTTCTTATGCTCTCTGAAAAACTTCCGGAATCCGCAGACGGTTAACTCAGCCGTCAATCATGACGTCACCAAGGGAGCCAGCAAATTACAAGACAGGAGAGTAAACGCTGCTCTCCACCCCCTCCCCTCGCTCGTCAGACGTGGGATAGTAATTTTGTTCTCTATCCTCATAAACTCATAACTCAAACTTTTCATTGTCAAAGTAAACTCGTTATGGATGTCAATCCAGCAGTTCTGTGTGAGAAAAGGTGTAATTCTCTGAAACAGGAAAAATAAGTAACATGTGATAAAGGCGGAAGTTTTAGGGTCATAACAATACTTTTTAGCCTCACTTGGAATTCACACGCACTTGCAATCCCTTTTAAAGGTAAATGTTTTCACAATCAAATGCATTCAATTAATTATTATAATCATCAACTACTATTATCAGTAAGTGTGAGCTCAAATATCAAGGTAGAAGTTTTGGGAGTTTTATGATCATTTCGGCTTTTTTTGGTGGCAAAGGCATTTGGGCAGCTTGCAGTCATTGAGTCGACCAAGAACCCCTCTGTATACCAAAATATTCTAGAGTCATATGTGAGGCATAACTGCCTGACAACTAAAACCTGGGTGAAATAGTGTCAATTAACAGCAAATC